TAGAACCGGAAATGATAAAACTATTTACAGCATAATGTATAATTTATTGTGTTAACACTTTTTGTATTTATTTCGACCTGTAAGACGTTGGTAGAATAGAGCAGGAAACGCTGTTATTAGTATAAAATTGAATTTTTATCGGACAATAACAACTATAATAATTATCACTCGTACAATGTACCTCTATACTAATCATAATATTTAATAATTGTAATAAACAGGATTGTTATTTTCAAACTTAAAATTAAATATTTTTATGTTTTAAATTATATTTTGTTAAAAATGAGTATAATAAAATTCGAGGTTTAGGCAGTAGGTACTTATGTCAATTTGAGGCGCATCAGGTTGCAGTTGTGGTCCACGGAAGTTGAACATTATATTTTTGTCTTGGGTGATGACAAAAATAAAATGTCGGTAACGGAAATGTCGTAAGTTTATGTCATTTAAGATGAGACATTTCAATTATTCAAGTCATCATAGCTTAATTTCTCAGAACTAACGAGCTGTTAAATCGGTAATTTTATATGGATGATGCAAGTTCGCAAAATATTTAATATAGTATATCATATTTATATCTGCCCCACTTCCTAAAAAAAAAAAACATTATAAAACATTAAATATTTACTAAATGATAATGGAAACGTTTTGAGAGAAAAGTTGCAGTTGAATTTTTACCTCGGTCGATACGACTCAGATTTAGTGAGAATTGCAACAGTGCAAAATGTAAGAATTAATAACAATAGTACCAGGACACCAGGTATACCTACATCAAAAAGGTGGAATCACATAAACTTAAATTCTCTCTCTTGCTATCAAGCCATTGTAATTCAAATGCAGTCATTGCTTTCGAATTAAAAATCACAACATACAGCTACCAGCATAATGTATATACCACAGCCATCGACATGGGTGTGATGTTTAGCACCCAATACCCTGTTCTTTTTTTTCAAATTCACAATACACGCTATCATATAATGATATTCGAATGATTCGTATTATTATTATCCACGCAGTCGGAAAATCATATTTAAACTAAAAAACATTATTAAAATATTGTTGAAAGAATAATATTTACAATTAGGTGCTATATAAATATAACACGTGTATGTATATTTCTACATTATATAGAAATAAAAAATAATAAAGTGAACAAAATAAATATATAACTAAAAACTAACGACGTTGAAATCAAATCTTGCAGAACATCTATACACACGGAGTTCGACTGTACGCTATTTTGAAAATTAAACGTCAACGTCCCAAATAGCCGAAACTATCAACTACATACCACTTTCATAGTGGTTCATACATTTTTTCTAACCTAAGCAACTGACAATTTTTGTTACGATAAAATATTATATATCATAAGATCTTTAACATGTATCAACTATATTACATTATATATTATATCCGAAAATAAACTGAAAGAGCGATTTCACTATAAGTTGGGTCCGACGTACCTATATATACGAGTAGAACTTAGTGTTGAAGATATACGGTTTTCAGCAGTATACAATCTATGCGCGGAGTAATTATAGACATTTAAATGCACCATTAACAATTACACGGATTCCATGAGCAAATGGGTATTATAAGTGTTCACGCAGGAGCAGCTGCAGGATTTATAGACAAAATCGCATCGAGGTGCAAAATGATATACGAAAATTCACTAAGAATTTGAAATCTCTTGCGTGGGGTTGGAGACGTTGACTGAGTTGGTCACGCCAACAGCTTTGAACTGCAAAGTATACTCTCACACCCTCTTATGTATAGTCGCATCAACGGATGCGTCCACTACTCGTCGGTCGTCGAACCATTTCCATTTGTAGAAAATGATGATAATATTATTTAAGATTCATACGCCGGACGACCTGCATCGGGCGTTGATCTGATCTGAATGTTTCGAACCTTTTAGCGATTTCGTATCGAATCTGTCCACATCACACGCATCGTACGGTACATATTATACTATAATAATAGTACCGTTTACCGCGTGTGAATATTACCCACTGTGGATTACTATACCTATAATATATTCGGGGCGGTCCATATACCGCGGTTCCGGCGGCGGCCAAACCAGAAACACTGCCAACATAGTCTCGATGAAAAATTCGAGCTTATAATATAGTCTTGCAGCGTTAGGGCACTAGCTATAGCTAATAGATATGCTACACCGCCATTTTGCGACTCATGTATCACTGTGGATATGAAATTGCCCGCATTCATCTCATCATTTTTATATATTGATAAAAAATGATTCGCAAAATGGTGGCATAGCATACCCATTATATTTAGAGCCTTAACAGCTTATTGTAATAGTTTACACCTTTCGAAGTTCGCGGGATTGGTACGTTGGGTCGCTGTAGACCACGGCGAGCCCATCGATTATATTTAATATTACAATAATAACTTACAACATTATTTTCAACGACGAAACGTACAAAATATATTGAAATACATTTCAATGACGTATAGTTATGGTATGTGTAATAAATTCTCGCATCCAACACTCCGACAGAAATACTTATGTATGTATATTATGTGTATTATATGGTGCACATCTGAACCGTCACTAATAAACGCAGTACTAAATACTAATAGTAATGGGGGAGTACTAATGGAGCCTTCAATCAAGTTGTTTTGAAATCAATTAACATAAGAAACGTTGTTTTTGGGATTCCCTTCTAATTATACTTATGTTGAGATACGTAAAAAATGCATTATATTTCCAATGACGGTTTTTAAAAGCGAATAACATTCCGAAATAGTGGTCCTTGCGTTTTATTTATTTGTTATTTTATAACAATCTACATACACGGATATTTACAATAATACATAATATATATTGACTATTAGAGCATTAAACATGATAATTAAATAATATCGTGAATAAGCATAATAATTCATATTAATATATAAGTATCTCATCATAATAATATACATTAAGGCTAATTTGACAATTCATTAATTTATTACGTAATAATAATATAATGATGTGTGAAAATAGAAAAATATTTACACCTAATAATAGTAATACACGTTTCAAAGTCTTATATAATGTTATAATATATATGTTAGTAATTAAGAAGGTCTCGAGGACAGCCCCTTTTTAGTCTGTGTTGAGGCGGATGAGCGTGAAAATTGTAATATATAGTGAACCTGTTGAGTTAAGCAGTGATCCATGAAAATCGTTGGATAGGGTTTTGATGTAGTCTTGGATTTCTTCAAATGGGAAATATTTGTGTACGTTTACGTTTCTTATAAATCAGGGCATTTGCAATTATTTTAAAGCACTTAGTTTGAAACGTTCGTATTAAACTAATGTGAGATGTCGTTCGGGTTAATATTAATTTAATTTAAATTTAAATGATTTTGGATAATTGTTCTATAAGAACAATCTTATATATACTCTATCTATCTTATATACTTCATCATACCAATACAAACGAAGAATAATAACTAAAAATCGTTGATTTTATGATTGATATTAAGAGTTTAATACGTATTATAGATTGATAACTGCTAAGTACATCAACATACATCTTATTAAATAACTTAATATAATATTTTCGATAAAATTGTATGAATAATGTTATTTTGATAATGTTTAATGTTATACTCCATGTGGAAAACAAACGTTAAACCATATATATAATAAATGTACCTAGAATTCCACTGTTATAGTAATATGTTAATGCTACAACGATTGACACGGACCAACCATTAACATGTATCTATAAGAATTTCGTCGATACTTTTATGTAGTAGTAGATGAATTTTCCAGCAATTTATACTTTAAAGCTGACAAGTTGATCACAAAATACTGACTCTATGTGAATCAAAGTTTGAGTTGAATTCGTCATTAAATACCCGGCGTAGTAATGTTCAAAACTTTCCGTGTCAAATTCCCATGGAATTAACAGATCTTAATCTCCATTAAAGATTTTTAGCACAGTCATACAAAATACAGGTCTAAAATTATATTCAATCTTGATAGTTGATAGTCAATAAGTATTTTTTTCTCACATTTTTAGCTTTGTACAGGTAAAACAATTTTTAAAATCGGTACCTAATAACCAATTGCTAATTTCTTAATCATCTAAACTAAATTTTGTAACCAATAGGAACCATACAATAAACAAACAATTATTATTATTTCTATTATTTCTATAAAAAATTCTAAAAATTTGCATTAATAAATAACTTAAGGGCCATTTATCGAAACAAAAATATATACCTAATACAGATCCTTTGGATAGCGTAGCTTTCTGATGATAATTTTTTTTTTTAAATCTCTTGTAGTTCCAGAAATTATCCCGAACAAACGATAAACATTTTTATTCTTTAAACATTAGTGTATACTAGATAAGTTTATATCGATCGGATTTTCTGTACGCAGGGCAGGTCATCGTCGATCTATAAGAAAGTTTCTTTAGCTACGGCACAGCGCGTGAGCTACATGCTCTCATCAGGTTTTCCCAGTTCAAACGCTGTACACAAGTAATAGTGGGTACGCAACATTTATTTTTATACTCGTCTGTCGAATTATATTACAATATCATACCATAACAGTTTATAATATACACATGGACCATTATACGGGTAACACTTGCACACTGCGTATATCCGGCGCGAGCACGTTGTACTTTTATCATAGTTTTTTTATGGATACATAACATATAACGATAGGTGGGTATATGTTTTTAATTCGTATAATATTAACAATACGTTCGCTTTTCGGCCGTTGCCGTCAGTATACACAGATATTATTATAATGTGCGTGAATTATATTATTATTATTATTAATGGCGAACACGAATATTACGAGAACGACAGACCCGCAGCAGCAGCAGCAGCAGCAGCAGACCGGTAATTATCATCCGGCTGTGCAGAATATTATAATGTGCAGTGTGCTGTGCTGTTGTGTCGAGCGGACGAGCGGGCCGCCGAGGAAACGGCCAAGACGAAGAACCGACGACCGCCGAGGCCACCGTACCACCTGAACCGTTACGACAATGCCCACTCGTCGTCCTCTTAGTCCTATAAGTCTACAATATTATACGTGTATGTGCCCTGTTTGCGTTTTCTTCACACACACACACACACACACACACACACACACAGAGAGACGAATATGCGAATATTAGCATCGGCTCAAAGTCAGTGCTTGTACGTCGCAGAAACAGTACGTCGCCGGCGACCGCTCGCTCACCATACACACTATAATAATATCTATTCGTCCGACCGTAATTATATTATTTATATCGTCTTCGAAAACCGTCGCCGCTATCACCATGTACGTCGAGTGGCTGCGAAGTGTAAGTCTTATTATATTTATATATATATATATATATACATTATGTACCAGATATCTGTAGAATATTATTGTTATTGTTGTACGATTCATTTGTATTGGTTATTCACCCTTACCGCCGTTGCGTAAAGTATTATACATCAGACAGTCTGGAGATTGTGTCTTTAGGTGAAAACCCTCCGTAACGGATCGATTTTCCAGGTGAAACACCGGCCATATAGGACTTTAGGATTTAACGTTTTATGAACAAACTTACGAAAGAGGTTTTTCTGAGTTTTACTCGAGAGAACGCTATATATTACCCATGTGTTTGTCCGTCTCCGACGTAGCACATTTTCGTTCTCTAGTTTCAACAGTGTGTTGCGTTAGTTTTGATATTAGAGTGAACTGATGTATCATCAGACTTTTGGCTGAGAACATTATCTGTGCTTAAGCGTCGACTTTTATTCGATATTTTAATTTTCCAGCGAGATATGAGCAATTTAAATTTGTGATATTTCACATACCTATTTCTCTGATTAAAATATCAAACAAGTCTCCAACACACAGATAATGTTCTTACCTAAATATTTGACAGTGCGTCAATTTACTCCAATAACAAAACTAACAGCGCCCTATTGAAACTAGAGAATGAACATTTTTTGTGTGTCAGACAGATACAACAAACGCATAGGTAACGTCCTCTTGAACTTGGGATGATTAAAATTTTTTTAATCCGGTGTGTTTTGTTCTTGTACTTTTTTAATATAATTAAAATCATACATCCTTTTTACAGCTTTAAAGACAAGCATTTAATTATCTACGGATTGATTTGTTTGTTGGGATTTACCGAAAATGTAACTGTATATTATTCTAAGAAAATATTATTATAAAAGGTACCTCCAAAGGTATACTTACAAACAAAGTTTTGCATTCTTTTGTTCTAATAATATTCCGGTTGATTCATTATCTACTATTAGTCAATATGGAACTAGCGAATAGATAGAGGGACGACGGTTTATTATATATTTGTTTGACGCCAGAAGAAATCGATTTTGTACGTTATAACCTAACAATAATGGATAAACTATACTTATAGGTATGCAGTAATTTATCTCATGTACTTAGTTGAACCATGCGTTTGCTGCAGGGGTTGAAGAAAAAAGAGTTCTTATGAAAATATAGACTCTTAACTATATTTTGTCGATTTGTGCATAACACCGCGATAAGAATTACGTTCGTACGATTTGTTGGTTTAAATTTCAGTAATCTTTAAAAATAATTTCCATCTATACAAGCGAACGTCTTTCCAAACTTTCCTGAAAACCACCTACGAAATGCTGTGTTATTTTGTTATAATTTATAGTTTTCGAAACATTTATTCGACGTTTCGTTTCAAAATGTTTGATAAGGTACACGTTAGTAAGTATAGATTGACTGTATTAGGCATCAAACAAATATATATACGTATATGGAACCCTATATCTTATTACGTTTCAGTACAGTACTCGGGCAAGTACACGTACGAAAATAGGCGTTGACATTTGTGTCGTCCGAAACGAATACAGGAGATCGACCGTTGGTGTATTGTATAGGTACAAGTTATAATCCGTAGTCGGATTTGAAGTTTCTTTTGACCAAACTTATAATGCGCTTTGTATTTGTTTTGTTTTTACGACGAGACTTGGAAAGACGTTACGAGTAATTTAGACTCTGGCTTATCGAATGACATCCCACATCCAGAATAAAGTATTGTATTATATTATGTTCTGTTGATTATAATAATATTGGTTTATGTTGAGAGAACTCTATCTTTCAAACGATAACCAAACCGTTTTCAGAGTATATTGTCAATTAAATGATTTTTTCGAAAATGATGCAGCTAAAATCTAAATATTAAAATTTGAACGAATGGATAGCTTGTTAAGGATAAAAATATAATAGTGGGGTGATCATGCTTACGATACTGAATTGAGATGATACTCGATAAAATGCTGCACTGCTACAGATCAAACGTCCGAAATATTCGTTCGATTTTATGCTTTTTGTGTAGATTACTACACAATAATTTCAAGCCTTCAGATTGATTAGGGTAGCATTTATAACCATAATTTTTTTTAAACTATATTAATTTTTGAATTGATTGATATTTTTAATTAATTTTGTGAACAATGTTTTACCACGGGTTCATGGGATCATGTAGAATCTTTTAATATGATTATGAAGTTGATATATTATTATGTACAATTGACATATATTATTAACGAACAACTACTGCGGTTTTACTCAAAATTATATTTGTTTACGTTTGAAGTTGCACCCTCGGTCATACATCAACTCGAGAAAAAGTTTACACAAATTGAGTTCCTGATTGGGTTTCTATACTTCTATTTTGAATATTTTCTAAAACAATTAATATTTCTAAAAATTTCAAATAAGTTTAAAATAAACATAGAATTATATATTTCATAATATTGGAAAAGCTTGAATAATTAATTATTATTATTAGATATATGTATATGTTACGGGCAAAGTGGAAAATTCGGACAATGTATACAATGTCCGAGTTATATTGGGCAATATAAATTGTGAAGTATTTATACAAATAATCTGCATAATATTATTATACCTAATCAATGATATTATATACTAATTGAATTATACTCGTTTATATGGTTATTTATATAAGAGTATAACAATTTTTTTTTAATTAATTAAATTTTAAATGTATTTAAAGGTAATGAAATAAAATATTATGTGCATAATGTTCAGTTAAATGATATTATACATGAAGTGCATTTGTCAATTGGACATGGAGGTAGAAATAGAATGGAACACGAGATTAATAAAAAGTACAAAAATATAACTAGAGATGTAATAATATAATACTTAAACAATTGCGAATCGTGTAAAAAGAAGGGAAGTACAGCTAAAAAAGGGTTGGTTGTAAAACCAATCATATCTTCTGAAATGAATTCTCGCTGTCAAATTGACTTGATCGACATGCAAGCACAATCAGATGGCGATTATAAGTTCATATTAGTTTATCAGGATCATCTAACAAAATATATTATGCAGATTATTTGTATAAATACTTCACAATTTACATTGCCCAATATACCTCGGACATTGTATACAATGCCCGGACATTGTATACATTGTCCGAATTTTCCACTTTGCCCGTAACATATATAAGTAGTAATAGTAGTACAAATTTGCTTCTATACAGTATACACAGTATACAATTACAAGGTGATCACAGTTATACGAAGCTCTATCTTACTTTAAATTCATTAAAATGTACTTATTGATAATATTATTGCATGTTGAAGAAGAAACGTTTCATAATATATTAATATATTATATTCTTATGTCCTAGGGGGTTATTTACCCCTAGCATGCTACTACGCTTTTCCACTTTATCTTTTATTATAATGCATGTTTTGTTCAAATTCTGATTTCCCGGAAATGCTGTATTCTTACAAACCGTATTTGAGATTTATTAATTCCCATTTATGAAGTGTCAATACAAACTTCTTTTTTTCAAATCAAAATTACTCTTTTTACTCTTAGTTGTTAGTTGTTATTTGTTAAGTGGATGATTTTTTCGAAAATTTGTTTCAATCAACCCAAGTCGTTTTGGGTGTAACTTTTAGAAAATTCGTAGTATTTTTTATAAATTATTAGTATTTGGTTCAAATTTGTAGGTAAAAATTTAAAATGAATAGTAGTTTTTAAAATAGTAGAGAAAACAAAAAAAAAAAATGAGCGAAAACTGGGAATTTTTACGCAAAACTAGATTTTGCCTAGAATCAGATTTGTTTTTTTTTTACGATCCAAAAACAAACAACAGTGTAGGAACATATAAAAATATAATTCAAGAATTTGTTTAGTTGCAATATCCCGGAAGAAAATGTACATTTTTTGTTATTAAAATTGTTACTTAAAATTAATCATTTTTTTAAAAATATTAATATATTTTATTATTTTTGGCTAAAATTAGCTCAACCAACCGTACTATAAGTTTATACCAATTTAAATTTAACATATTAATTACACCGGTCTACTCAATGACGACATACATTAATATGATGTATACCTAGAGTAGAGCTACTAGTTTTTCTTTAATATCCAAATACTTAAACACAATTTTTGAATTCGCTATTTTTAATTCAGATTTAAATTTAAGTTCTGTGCTATTTAAAAGTGTATATTTAGCTTGAGGCTACATTTTGTCATATTTAGTACAGGCGTTTGTTGCTAAATGTGATAGAAGCCGGAGGGTGAACTGCACTGAAAAAAATTGTTGGCATTGTTTTTTATTAAAATAGTTCTGTGAACGTATAAGTTTGAGTGGTGACAGTTTAATAACATTCTTTAAAAAAAAAATTTTTAATATTATTACTTTCTTTATTTTAAAATAAAAAGTCAACGTTTCGTCATAAATTAAATTGCAGTTTCCCTCGACTGGAGGTATAATACTGAGGAATGTTTACTATTTTATATTTACTCAATCGACGACCGATATCTTACCTATATACATACATATTTTACATATGTTTCAACATTTTGAGAAAATAGTTGATGCTCATTTTGAAAGCTAAATCGGAATGGCTGCAAACATTATACTTACATTACTTACTAGGTGTCCAGTTTGGCTTTACTCGTGCAAAAGTTTTTTTTATAAAAAAAATGTACCTAGGTGCTATAATTCTACTAATTTTAATGGTAATCTACCAACACAGTATGTAACCAATTGCAAGCGGCAACCATATAAAAAAAAAATAAATATTTTTTTTTTCGTAAGCTGAAAAAAATTCTTGTGTGAGCAACCCTTTAAATACCTATAGGGGCTAAAAAAAATAAACTATAAACACCCTCAATGTCTCGAGGGCTTTGATATAATTTTTGTTGAAAACTGTTCAGTAGTTTTTGAGTCCATTAACTTCATATAATCCAACATCTATTTTTAGCCCGACTTTTACCGTGAAAAAATGAAAAGTATAAAATATACTACTGTATATT